TGATGCTGATGATGATGATGATGATGATGATGATGACGGTGACGATGACAATGACGATGATGATGCTGCTGCGGTGGTGATGGTGATGGTGATGGTGAGGATGACGACGATGATAATGTTAATGATGGTGATGCTGATGATAGTGATGCTGCTATGATCATGGTGATGACGATGACGATGATGATGATGATGATGATGATGATGATGATGATGATGATGACGACGCTGACGATGGTACTGATGATGATTGTGATGATGACGCCGCCGCTGCCGCCGATGATGATGATGATGATGATGATGATGTTGATGATGATGATTATGATGATGATGGTGATGATGATGATGATGATGATGATGATGATGATGATGATGCTGCTGATCATGATGATGCTGATGATGCCGATGTTGCTGCTGATGATGATGAAGATGATGATGGCGATTTGTGATGATGAGGATGGTGGTGGTCGTGATGATGACGATGATGCTGCTGCTGCTGCTGCTGATGATGATGACGATGACGATGACGATGATGATGATGATGATGATGATGATGATGATGATGATGATGATGAAGCTTACGATGATGAAGATGATGATATAGATGATGATGATGAATGATGCTGATGATGATGTTGATGATTGATGATGATGATGATGATATGATGATGATTGATGATGATGATTTGAGATGATGATGATATATGATGATGAAGATGATGATGATGATGCGATGAGACGAGGATGAGATTGAGGAGAGGAGTAGGAGGAGAGGAGGAGGAGCAGGAGGAGAGGAGAGGAGGAGGAAAGGAGGAGGAGTAGACAGGAGGAGCGGAGGAGGAGGAGAGCTAAGAGGAAGTCGGAGGAGGAGGAGGGCAGCTCAAGCTTGTCTTGCTGAAGTCGTCTTCTCGGGGGCATAGCCGGGCGTCGGCTAACCCTTTTCGCTTCGCCGCTCTTCTTCTTCTCCTCTTCGTGTCGCGTGTCTTCTTCTTTCTTCGGTCCTGCTTCTTCTGCAGCTGCTGTGCGTCTTACTTGCGCCGTCCTTCCTGCTTTCTGGGCCGCTGATCGTGCTTGGACGCCCACATACAGGCCTGAGTCGGCACACTGGGTACTCTACCCCGCGATCCCCGGAGCGTTTTCGATGAGTCGCAGTTGATGGAAACCACCTCGGGTCGAAAGTCGAAGCTCCGCGCTGCTTTCTTCGGTGTGCGCTGGACCACCTGGCGGCTCTTCCGGCGCAGCCCCTCCCTGGCGCGCTCCGCGCGCAAGGGTGGGGTGGGAGAAGCGCCGATCCAAGACATGCGCGCGGACCTTAGACGTTCTTGTTGTTCCCCACCCAGCAGGTTGTGATTGTTAGACTCAAGGGAAGAGCTCCAGAACCACGTCGCACACCTTGCGGATCGCGGCTGCCGGGCCAGAAGTGTTGGGTGGGAGTCGCTCGAAGCAGAATCATGTATTCTCGTTGGCTCATCACCGGAAAATGTGCGAATATTTTGGGTCGATGAAGCATGCAAGGGAAGCGCCCAGAGAGACGAGGGGAAGTGGGAGAGATTTCAAGCATGCCACGCCCTGCGTGTCTCTTTTACAATCTTTCGTTTCTCTTCTGGCTTGCATTGTGAGAGGGATAGGGGGATGAGGACAGAAAGACCTAAACCTGCCCACCCAGCCCGGGCGCATACAGCCACTGGTCAGCGTGCAATCGTCCGAACTTCTTTCGCTGCACTGGAAACTCTGCGGAAACGTCGAGAGGCCGAAGCAAACGTCGGATCGCCCCCTCCACCCCGACGCCGACGATGACGCCGACGACGACGACGACGCTGACGACGCCGACGCCCCGGCTCACGGGCGGGCGGCCGCCCGCGCAGGCCCTCGATCGTCCGGTCTCTCGCGCGGCCGCAGAGCTCGCAGAGCTACAGCTCCTTCAGGGACAACGCCGCCTTCCTGCGCGAGGCGGGCCTCCTCCCCCTCGCCTCCTTGCTCACTCCTTCCCTCCCTGGCTCGTCCTCCGTTCCCCTCCCCCCGCTCCTTCCTCTCCTCCTCCCTCCTCCCCCTCCTCCACCTCTTTCTCCTCCTCTTCCTCCTCCTCCCTACTCCCTCCTCCCAGCGTGCTCCGCGGCATTAAGATGCCCTGCAGAAGGTGTCCCTCCTCCTGCGCTCCTTCCTCCCGCCCTCCCTCTTCCTCTTGCCCTCTCTCCTCCACCTCCCTCCTCCTCTTCCTCCTGCTCCTCCTCCTCCCGTCCTCCTCCTTCCTCTCTCCTCCTCTCCTCCTCGTCCTTCTCCTCCTCCTCCTCCACCTTCCTCTACCTTTTGCCTTTCCTTCTCCTCCTGCTCCTTCACCCTCTCTCTCTCGCACGGCTATGACAGCCATCCCTTGGCTCCAAGCGCAGCCGATGGCCGCGCACCGCCCGCCATGCCGCTCTTCCCGCTCCACTGCCGGCCCTTATCGCACGCGCTGTTCCAGCCATGTGGTTCATGATGTATGGTACCCAGCTTGTTGCCACTGTCGGCTCTTCTCACACGCATGCCAATGCTGGTCCACATGTGGTGCAAGAAATCCGTCTCGGCGAGAGTGGCGATGGCCTGCTGGACCTCATCATCGGTGGAGAAGCGCACCTATCATCACCCCGTCGACCTGCCGTAGACGGTGCCGTCCTCGGTAATCACCCTGCTGTATCCCACCGTGCCTTCCTGCTTCATGTGGTCCTTCAGGATGCGCCAGGCAACGTCGTAGGCGATGTTCCCGACGTAGACCAGGTGCTCGCCGTGCACTCTGTTGTCTCGGCCAGAGCCCCTCCCGCCTCCGCCCCAGTATGCGGCGCCACTGTCCGCTGCCACTGCTTGCCGCTGTCGCCCCTGCCGGCCCGCGATTGTAGCTAATGACGTCTGGTATCCGGCTCTCTCACTGCTGCAGGCTGCCACGGCTGGTTCTTCTCGCACGCGATGGCCCACGGGGGGATCAGGGAAACGTAAGACTCGAGTACGCCTGAACTCGGGTTTGCCGACGCTTTTTGACGAGCGCGTCTTGGGATTTAACGGTCCAGTTTTCGTGGGATGTCTGCGGAGGAAGCTCGCGTCAAATTGCAGACTGGGTCGCGTCATTTTCATGATGGCCCTGTCAGGCTAACCCAAGTCCCCCCAACCCGAGTCTTACGCCTCCCCGAAGGTAGCTGAACGTCTGGTCTTCAGTCTCTCCTCTGCCTACATCCACTGCCAGTTCTTGTCGGAACCTGCCTGCCAGCAGGTGCCTGACGAGGTCACGCTTGCCCGCCTTGGCCGCGTTTTTGATGGCCACCCGTAGTAGTTCAGGACCTCCGTCACCTTCGACGTGGTAGCTGTTGCGATCCCTCTCCTCATGGTAATTAGCTTCCAGACCCGCCGCTCTCCTCGTAGTAGCTGTCAGCCTTGTCGCTGTCGCCTCTGTCTGCTGCCACTGCCGCCTCTGCTCGCATGTGCTTTCCCTCTGCTTCCCTCATGCTCCTCGAGATGTCAGCGTATCTCAGTCGTTCGAATGCGTATGTATATAAAGCGAGAAAAACCTACCAGGGCCTGATATCGACTGCAGGCACCAGTGCCCGCTGCACCACTGCCAGCTGCCTGCTGCCGTTGCCTGCTGCCATTGCCGCTGCCACTCCCGGCTCTACGCGCCACTGTCTGCTTCGCCCCTGCCAGCTGCCACAGCACCACCGCCCACACTGCTTCTTCTCGCACCACTGCCTGCTGCCCCTACCGAATCTTCTCGCACCACTGCCTGCTACCACTTACGGTCGTTCGTCCTCCTCCCGTACCTGATTTAGTCGGCATCGTGTTTCTCGGCGTCGCGCCCGTAACTGATGACTTCGGGCTCGCTTACACCGGAATCGCGAGGCGGGGCCGTGTTGGGCGCGACCAGAGATGCCATGTTTTATGCGCCCGCCTGGCCGCCGTCGGCCCGCGGGCTGGTGCCAGCTGGCCACGCGGCAGTTCCCCGGCGGTGAGACCGCGGTTCGCGCCCCCGATGGCCCTCTCCCTCCCCTTACTCCTTTTCCTCTCTCCTCCTCCTCCTCCTCCTCCTCCTCCTCCTTCTTTTTCTCCTCCTCCTTCTCCCCACCCTCTCTCGTCCTCCTTCCCCCCTTCCCTTCCCCCCTCCTCCTTCTCCCCCTCCCGCCTCCGCCTCCGCCTCCGCCTCCTCCTCCTCCTCCTCCTCCTCTTTCTCGTCCTCTACCAGATCCTCCTCCCCCTCCTTCTCGTCCTCATTGCCTCTCAGCCTCCTTGTCTCCCCGTCCTCCTGCTCTTCCTCTTCCTCATATTTCCATGCAGTGCAGACTCGCTCTAATTGTGACTGTCCCTTCAGCTGACGGCGAGATAGCAGTTCGGAGCGGGTCAGGAGGATTGAGCGACACGTTGGAGCCTGAGATATTCATGCAGGATTACCACACAGCGGCTCAGAAGTGGGCTTCAGTTGAACAAAGCGCCAACCACGGCGCCATGCTCATTCGGATGGACAAGTATCCAGCGTTCGACGTGTCGCTGGGCAGCTTCGTGGACGACATTTTCAAGACTCAGTTGCTCGAACATGTCTCGACTGTCCAGGAGCTCGTGGTGGCTTCGAGACGGAGCGAAGCTGGCTTGGATCAGGCGCTGGCGGCGAGGGGATGCGGACAGACCAGGTCGGAACAGGATGTGGTGCCAGCTTTGTCGTCCCAGCACTTGGTGCGCCGATCCATCCAAGCTCTCTGTGGCGGTTGGTGCAGAAGTGGATTTGAGCTGAGGCATCAGGTGGCCTGGTTCGACGCGGTGAATAACATTCGGGGGTGGACATAACCCCCAACAGTGACACGTCGATTAGTGAATTGTCCGTTTTCGGTGCTCGAGAGGGCGCCGCGGCCGTGATTTTCCAGGCTTGCGCCCGCCAGATTTGGGCCTTAGGTCGTTTTCACTAAACCACGTCTTCACTAAAGGGGGGTTTGTCCATCCCCGAAACATCGAACGAGCTGCAGACAAGGCTCAATTCCATCAACAGAGCATGGACGATGGTGCAAGGTTTTTGGTGCTCCTCGTCACTCTTTCGAGTCAAGAGGCTGATGTTCATCTCGCTGGTCAGTGGAGCGGCGTTCTCGGGCACAGTGGCTTTTTGTTGGACGGATGGTGAAACAAAACAGTTGTGTGAATCCCTTGCTCGCAATTTGAGGTCGATAATGTGAGGAACTGTTTCTGCGAGAGGGCCCACGTCAAGACGATGACGACGCGTGGAGTGTACAGATACCGGAACCTTGTCTCCTTTGCGATTGAGGCTGCAGTCTAGAGGTTGCGCTTGTGGCAGGCTGTGGCGCGAGCAACTCACCACCGCGCCCATTTGGTTCGATGTTGTTCGGTGACATGCAGTGGGAGGTGGGAGGCTACTAGCGAATATCGCTGTCCGCCGACGCTGCTAGACAACGGCATCATGAAGGTAGACGCGGTCATCCACCCCTGGGCGCGCCAGCTGCGACGCGAACTCGAGGCCATGTGCAGCTGCCCCGAGGCGGAGTCCTTCGCCGAGGTGTGGAGGAATGGAGCGATGTTGGGCCTTGTGTGGGACGGGGAAGTTAACTACCTCTTCACCTCATTTCACCCCCGGTGCCTGCGCAGTGCCTTTTCTGCAGAACAGTGGGCCCCGCCACCTTCGCTGGCGGAGATTGTGCCAGCGGCCCAGGATGATGATCATATTTGGGAAAACATAGATGCCGACGTCTTCACTTGTACGATTCGCTCCGAACCCTATGGGCCGATCTGTGGGCAACGGCTTCGCACGCGTAAATCACTGGTAGCACATGTATGTCAACCACGGCAGCCAGGGCACGGGGGGCAAAACATACTCCATATTCTTGCGCCAAGCAACTCATCTATCAACTGCAATCTGATCTTCCAGTCAAGAGGGAGGCGATGAGGCACTTGGCACGTTCGTGGCACGCTGGGTGGTGCATCATGCACAACGCGGCGTACCCGTGCACGTTCAAGCAGGTCAATGCGTACGAGTGCGCGCTGTGCAACGACGCGTTCACCACGTGCGCTTCCCCCAAGAACCATGCGTGCTCACAGCTGCCGCCGACGCAGGAAGGCATGTCTATATATCGGTGATTAGTCCTCGCCCGGCGCCGTCCATACCCAAACAACGTACTCGCCCTGTCCCTCCGGTTGGTGCTGGCGGACGCCAGCGTGGCAGTGAGATCCGAACAGCAGCCGGCCTCGTCGTGCCGGCCCAGAGCCCAGTTCCAGCAGCCTGTGAAGGTCGAGAAGCGCGGCAGGTGGCGCCCCGCCCGAGCAGCAGCTCAGGGCTCCTCGGCACCGTCTCTAAGTGGTGGGGGCGGCTTCAGAGCAAGCGCGCGGTCGAAGGGCCAGGGCCGCAAGCAGCTCAAGGGCGAGGGCAGGGGCGGGGAGGCAGGGCCCATGCTGGCGGAGCAGGATCCGAGGGAGTGGCAGCCAAACCTCGAGTCCGTCGAGGAAGTGGACGCAGAGCAGAGCAGAAAGAGAGGAAACTTGCCACGAAGGATGCGGGCCTGAAGGAGTTGCTGCTCCTCTTGTTCATGCAGGTGGCCCAGCTTTTGCAGATGTCGAGGGCAGCGTGGGAACTCGCAACGAGTACAATACTCACCAGGGAGAAGGATTCAGTGGTCGAGGCCATGCAGGCGGAGTCGAAGGATTTCTCCCAGGTGGCGGCGCAGTACATCCTCGGCGATGCTTAAGAAAACTTGAGTTTTTGGCCAGAGTCTCGATTATTCTTAAACGTTTCACTGTAATTCCTAAGAGTGTAATAGAAATTCTGGGTTTCTATTCAAATTCTGAGACTCTGAATTTCTTAACCCATGATTTCTTAAGCATTTCGCAGGGTGTACAGTGCGCAGGTGTCCTCTGAAGGTGGAGGCGAAGAAGGCCGAGGGCGCGTGCCCGACCTGCGGAAAAGCATGCCGCGCAGGATGCGGAGGACATGCTCGTGCCCTGCGTGCCCTGGGGCCTCCAACGCCGGCGGTCTTCGCCGCCGTGGCGGAGAACTTGTCCACCAAGGAAGTGGGCATGGTGAACAGGCGAGGCCTGGAGGTGATGAAGGAAGTTTTCAAGGAGGAACCCCCAGGCTCCGCGGGGCTCTGCCGCCTGGAGTCGTGCAGAGACGAGGACGCGATCAAACTCGTGCCGGCCTCGGAGGACAAGGCCAAGGAGACGCTCATCTTCGACAGCTTCATGGCGACGGGAGTCATTGTCACCCAGAGGATGGCCCGCCGGGGTACTCTGAGGAGGAGATATCAGCCTGGATCGGCGAGCTGAAAGCGTAGCTGGATAAACCGAGCCCGCTGTGTCAAGTCTCCGTGTGCCCAATTTTGAGGTTTCCTCGAGTACTTCGAGCAATGGAGTGGTCTCGATTACCTCGAGCGATTTTGAGTGAGTGATTGGCTTTGACGCGCCTGCATACGTAACTTTGCCTTAGCTTTCGAGCTAAAGCAGCGCAGCCGTGAGCACCTGGCACGCGTGAAACACTTTATCGGTGTGGACGGTGGACCAAGCTCATATGTTTTTGAATGGTCTGGGCCCGCTTCCCTTGTTCGCCTCGCTCCTCGCCCTTTGTCGCTCGGCCCTGGCCTCGTTCGCCCGCCTCTTTCGGCCCCCAGCTCGGCCCCGTCGGTGGTGTCTGGGTCTTTCGGTTCTTCTGGTAACAATCTCCCGTGGCAGCTAGTCGTAACAAGCAGGAGTAGTTGTCTCTAGTAGACAGAGAGAGGGAGAGAACAACAAATGTGGATTTTCTGGTCCATCACAGTCCAACAGCCGTGAGCAAGCAAGCAAGTAAGCCCCTAGTCCTTCTCCCCTCCCTGCTGCCATCTTTTCCGGCATTGAAACAAGGGGGCGGCAGTTTTTCGCCGTTTGCGTGTTCTGGGAACTTTCGCCAGGCCCCAGGGCCCCCAACGAAGATGGCCCAGGATGAAGAGCTGGCACTGGGGAAAGGGTTGGGGCTTCCCGGCGCGCCTCCCTCCTCATCCTCGCCGTCAAATCGAGGAGCATACAATTTTCACAGATCTTAACTTTGTAGGTCCACGTGGATCTCTTGGGCCGGCGCTGGCGGCCTCCGCGCGCAGGGTGGGGTGGGGGTCAGCACCGACCCAGACAATCAGGGCGCAGTTCTCAAAGTTTGACATTCGTGCCGTTTCTTTTTCTATTATTCCTCATTTTGTTTCTCCTTCCCTTTCTCATTGTTCATATACTCCATCTTATTTTACTCACGCTTATCATTCTTATTCTGTCCTTTCTTATTATGTAATTGAATATTATCATGTTCATTCCGCTTCTCCTTCGTCTTCGCCGTCTTCTATTACACTGCCTCTCCGTCCTCTAGTTATTGCTTTTTTGCTGTCCGTTTTATTCGTTGTGCTTGTTTCGTATTGTCTCCTCTTCACCTTATTTATGTTCTCTTCCCTTATCTGATCTTCTCTCCTCTCTTCTCGTCTCGCCTCGTCTTTATCTTCTCTTCTTACCTTATCTTCCCTTCTCTTCTCTTATTTTTCTTCTCTTCTCTCCTTTTCCCATCGTCTTCTTCTTCTTCTTCCCGGATGCTCATCTCGTGGTGTGTGGGGGGAAGGGCGATATCGACGGAGGATTGCGAAGGCCTGACGGCCTGTGCCGCCGACCCTGAAGAGGACCACGACGTCGGCGACGAAGTAGGCGGAAACGCAGGCCGTGGAAGATAATGATGATGATGATGATGATGATGATGATGATGATGATGATGATGATGATGATGATGATGATGAGGAGGAGGAGGAGGAGGAGGAGAGAGAGAGAGAGGAGAGAAGGAGGGAAGAGAGGAGGAGTGAGGAAGAGGAGAGGATGAGAGGAGAGTAGGAGGAGGAAGGGAGTATGAGGAGGAGGAGGAGGGAAGAGATTGCTCCGATTCACCCAAAAGCTCGATCCTCGAGCCAGGTGTTCGGAGTCCGCAGAGAGCGCAGGAGGAGGAGAGAGGAGGAGGAGAGGAGGAGAGGCAGGAGAGAGGAGGAGGAGGAGAGGAGAGGAGAGGTAAGAGATGAGGGAGGGAGGATGATGAGAGTAGGAGGAGGTCGTGAGGAGGAGTTCTTGTCTAGGAGGAGTTCTCGAGGAGGCGAGGCAGGTTGATGAGGAGGAGAGGGCGGCGGATGCTGCTGATTCTGTAGGACGTAAGTCTATACGCTGCGTATTTCTTTCTTCTTTCTGTCGGCCTTCCGCGTATGCGTTCTGATTATATGACGGCTGCGCGGCGGCCCTTATGCATGCCCGGCTAGAATTCTGTCTTTCGACTGTGGTGCTTTTCGGCCTTCCCGGCTAGAGTAGAGGAGGAGGAGGAGGAGGAGGAGGAGGAGAGGGGGGGAGGGGGAGTTGTTCTACATGTTCAGTCTTTCGTGATTTTCGGCCTCCAGGGGCCATTTTGGGAACTGGGAAGCCGCGCGGGGTTCCGGAGCCGCGCGGGGACCGCGCCGGACGCGCGGGGAGTGAAAGCGTATTTGGGTGGCGACCCCCCCGGGAACCCCCCGGGACCCCCCCGGGAACCCCCCCGGGACCCCACCGCCCGCCGGGGAAGGGACAAAGGGAAGGGCCTTCCCTTGAACGTGGTTACGACATGGGTCGATTTCCCTCAAGCCCGCTAGAGCACTGCAACGACGACGACGACGACGACGACCAACGGCACAGCCCCTCACACACGCCGACAGGGTCGGCGGATTCCTGCTAGTTTGCGGCTTCTGGGGGTCTCTATCAGGCCCCAAGACCGTGAAGAAACGGCCCAGGATGAAAAGCCGGTCCTAGGACAGGGGTCCAGAGTTCCGGGGTCCCCCGTTGCAAAATTATCCTGGCAAAGCAATCTAACAGCGATGTGTAGGAGCATATCTGGAAGCATTCCACTTAAGATTCAGATGAGAATCCTGTTGTAGAATTCTGTTGTTCTCGCAGTCGTAGTCGCATTCGCGATGGCAGTCCCAGTGGCAACGGCAGTCGCAGTCACAGCCTCAGCCTCAGCCTGCCTCAGCCTCAGCCTCAGCCTGCCTCAGCCTCAGCCTGCCTCAGCCTCAGCCTGACCGCAGCCTCACCTGCTTCAGCCTCAACACATCAGCCTTCAACATCAGCTCGGCCTCACCGTCACCTGCTCCAGCCTCCCTCATCAGCCTCACCGCCTCAGCCTGCTCCAGACCCAGCGCCTGCACAGCCTGACCTCAGCCTGCCTCTGCCTCACCTCACACTGCTTCACCTCAGCCTCAATCGCCTTCAAGCCTCGCCTCAGCCTTCAGCCTGCCTCACCTCAGCCTGCATCAGCTCAACCTCACCACAGACTGCCTCACTTCAGCCGGCCTCAGCCTCAGCCTCAGCCTGCCTCAGCCTCAGCCTGCTCCTGCTTCAGCCCTCAGCCCCATCGCCTTCGGCCTCAGCCTCAGCCTCAGCCTGCCTCAGCCTCAGCCTGCCTCAGCCTCAGCCTCAGCCTGCCTCAGCCTCAGCCTCAGCCTGCTTCAGCCTCAACCTCAGTCTGCCTTCAGCCTCGGCCTCAGCCTCAGCCTGCCTCAGCCTCAGCCTGCATCAGCCTCAGCCTCAGCCTCAGCCTGCCTCAGCATCAGCCTGCCTCAGCCTCAGCCTCAGCCTCAGCCTGCCTCAGCCTCAGCCTCAGCCTGCTTCAGCCTCAGCCTCAGCCTGCCTGCAGCCTCGGCCTCAGCCTCAGCCTGCCTCAGCCCGAGCCTGCCTCAGCCTCAGCCTCAGCCTCAGCCTGCCTCAGCCTCAGCCTGCATCAGCCTCAGCCTCAGCCTGCTTCAGCCTCAGCCTCAGTCTGCCTTCAGCCTCGGCGTCAGCCTCAGGCTGCCTCAGCCTCAGCCTGCATCAGCCTTAGCCTCAGCCTCAGCCTCAGCCTCAGCATCAGCCTGCCTCAGCCTCAGCCTCAGCCTGCCTCAGCCTCAGCCTCAGCCTGCTTCAGCCTCAGCCTCAGTCTGCCTTCAGCCTCGGCCTCAGCCTCAGCCTGCCTCGGCCTCACCCTGCATCAGCCTCAGCCTCAGCCTCAGCCTCCTCAGCATCAGCTGCCTCAGCCTCAGCCTCAGCCTGCCTCTGCCTCAGCTCAGCCTGCTTCAGCCTCAGCCCCAGTCTGCCTCGGCCTCGGCCTCAGCCTCAGCCTGCCTCAGCCTCAGCCTGCATCAGCCTCAGCCTCAGCCTCAGCCTGCCTCAGCATCAGCCTGCCTCAGCCTCAGCCTCAGCCTGCCTCAGCCTCAGCCTCAGCTGCTTCAGCCTCAGCCTCAGTCTGCCTCCAGCCTCGGCCTCAGCCTCAGCCTGCCTCAGCCTCAGCCTGCATCAGCCTCAGCCTCAGCCTCAGCCTGCCTCAGCATCAGCCTGCCTCAGCCTCAGCCTCAGCCTGCCTCAGCCTCAGCCTCAGCCTGCTTCAGCCTCAGCCTCAGTCTGCCTTCAGCCTCGGCCTCAGCCTAAGCCTGCCTCAGCCTCACCCTGCCTCAGCCTCAGCCTCAGCCTCAGCCTGCCTCAGCCTCAGCCTGCCTCAGCCTCAGCCTCAGCCTGCCTCAGCCTCAGCCTGCCTCAGCCTCAGCCTGCGCCTCAGCCTCAGCCTCAGTCTGCCTTCAGCCTCGGCCTCAGCCTCAGCCTGCCTCAGCCTCAGCCTGCATCAGCTCAGCCTCAGCCTCAGCCTGCCTCAGCATCAGCCTGCCTCAGCCTCAGCCTCAGCCTGCCTCAGCCTCAGCCTCAGCCTGCTTCAGCCTCAGCCTCAGTCTGCCTTCAGCCTCGGCCTCAGCCTCAGCCTGCCTCAGCCTCAGCCTGCCTCAGCCTCATCAGCCTGCCTCAGCATTCAAAATGTGGCCCAGGAGTGGAGTTCTGGGAACTCGAAGAACACGAAGTGGCCTACAGTTGGCTCCGGGCATTCAAAATCATGCCCAGGAATGGAGTTCTGGGAACTCGAAGACCACGAAGTGGCCTGCGGTTGGCTCCGGGCTTTCAACATGTGGCCTGGGAATGGAGTTCTGGGAACTCGAAGAGCACGAAGTGGCCTACAGTTGGCTCCTGGCATTCAAAATGTGGCCCAGGAATGGAGTTCTGGGAACTCGAAGAGCACGAAGTGGCCTACAGTTGGCTCCGGGCTTTCAGAATGTGGCCCGGGAATGGAGTTCTGGGACCTCGAAGACCACGAAGTGTGTAATTGTTGGCAAAAAAAAGTCCCCGGCATCCTCCCCCGGATCCCGCCCGGACCACCCCTGGGGAGTCATGATGCTCTCTTTTGACCCTACTAGAAAGCTATCAGTCTTCGCTGTTAGGTAAGCACACACGACGTTGAAGTTATGGGGAGGGGGAGTGGGGAGGGGAGCGGGATGGAGTGGG